AAAGGTATGGACTGCAGGCAAAACGGCGCAGAAATATTTAATGTTTGCAAAGTAAGATTCACCCCAATACATAATGTACCATGACTACTCATTTTTGCGTGCTGCTGCCTCATGTTGCTGGAAAATTGATGATGCTGACAAAAAGCAACAGCGTTCGGAGGCTGCCATATCCTGTGTTCCTTTCTTTATACTTAAATTTCAACACTTTCTTGATTCTAGATAGCGGTATCACCTGGAAGCTATATATCACTTATTAATCTCTCACTCAAAAATCCAGTCAAACACTTTACTTAATTTTTTCCCTCTGGTATAATAACTTAAAGTTAACTCAATTGGAATATGTTTAACTCCTGTCGAATGAATGATTAAAGCCATGTATATGGCATTTAGTAGTTAGGGCTTACATACAGTTAGTTTAGTGAATGAAATATATATATTTTAATCTTTTTAATAGACAACAGACAGGCGGAAAGTAAACGCCCAGCTCCCACTCGGAGGGGTCAACTCAACAGCAAAACCAAGAGCAAAACCAATTAAAGTCGGAGGGGCCAAAGTTATTGGCCTGGCAAACAAATCGCTGAGCAATTTAACAAAGTAAAGCAAGCAATTATCACAAATAGTTTCGTGTCACATAAAATGTCGCAAAGTAGAGGGAAAAGAAAAGATACGAGTGTAGGGGTTCAAAGTAGTTGAGTAAAATTGTTTAATCATTGAGCTTAATTTCAATTGGGGGGGAAACTCGTTTCTGACACTAAGCCGATCAGGCACACTCCGAGACTGACTCCAATGTAGTTTAAGACGTAGTTTCATGTGGGTTTTTATACCCTTTCCTCTAAAGAGGGTATTAATATTATGGTTGGAGACTAGTGGAGCACAGAAGAAAGTATTTATGATTTATGATTCACCAATAAATATCTATATAGGGCTAGGAGTCCAGTCAATATAACAGAACAGAATTGAAAAACATTTCTAGTCGTTTTCATGAAAATAAGAATAAATAAATACTAGTTTCACGCTTCATGCGGCAGTGCACCTCGGTTATGTTGCATTTCTACTCGGATCCACATGTTAGTTTTGCGCATCTATGCCGTAATAAACGAAATATTAAGCTGCTGTCTTTTAATTATTTCTATGAATCGAATCCTTCAGCTGAAAATAAAACCAACAAACACATTTTTCTTCTAAAATGTTCTGCAGCAAGGGCATACATCCGACTGCCTGCCAAAAGGCCTTCGTTTTTCTTCTTCGTTATTTTTTTTGTCCAAAGTTGAGCCTGAATTTTATTGCCAATGCACGGGCCATGTTGTGCAGCGTGTCGAAAGATGATTGCAATTACCAGCATGTGCGATGTATCGCCCCGAATTCATTGCCAAATTGCCAAAATGATTGAATGGCCGAAACGAGTTGCGGATTGAATGTGTTGGCACTAGAGCGCAGGGGCGGTAGGGGTCGGGAGCGGGACCAATAATTGAAGTTTGGGTGTGTCTAGGACTGTGGATTTTTCTTCGCTAGTGGGCGGCAATGAAAGTTGCTAGTCAGGCGATTAAACGGTAAAAAGGTGCAAAGTCTATGTGGGGAACTGTGTTACCGAAAACAACTTTTACAAATGAAATGCTGGACAAGATGTTGTTGCTGTTTTTATAGGAGTTTAATTAGTGTTCATGTTAATGTCACGACTATAAAGCTGGAAGTTTTGCATGATATTGAATGTGATTGAGAGGCGTTTTAGCATATTAATGTTAATTAATGTGATTCTTGGGAGATTAAATTAAATAATATCAGAAAAAATGTGATGGATTATTACCAGAGATTTATGCGAATTTATGGGACATTTTAAATGTACAAATTAAATTTGTTTTGATTTTTTTATACAGGTTATCCTACGTTAAACGATATTTAAAGCACAGATATTTCCCCCTATTTAGTAGCTTTTGTTTAACAAAGAACCGCGCTTCCTGGTACCTTCCCCAAACACTTTCTCACTGCCACTTTCTCTCCTCCCAAAAAAACTGGCTAAAACTACAATCAGTTAAAAGCGAAAAGAATAAACAACCTGAAACAGTCTTCCCTTCTCCAACAGAATAAAAAGTAAAACTAGAACCAATAAGTCTTTGTTTAGACAAATCCAAAAACCATGAAAAGGCTTTCGCTCGAGTTGCCACACAAAACATACGAATATGCGGGATGCCAGATGGTAGCTCCAGACTGTAAGTTCCACCCACCGATGTGGCGCCCCATACTAATGCTATTAAGCCCCCCCACAAACTGCACTAAGCATGCATTTTATTGCCTTTCGTGTTCGTACGACAGTCCTTTAGTAGATGGGAGGGGTTCTTGTTCAGAGGGAAATACCAATACCCTGTCCTGCTCCTCTTTCAGTAGCAAAGTCCAGTCCTACTCCTATTTCTGGACCTGGTCCAGTCCTTTCATTGGGGAAGTCCTTCTCCTCTTTCAGTGCAGCGGAGTCGCCCTGGCACTTTATCATTTCAGTGGAAAAAAAAACAGCGGACATTGCAATGTTTACTTTTCATTTTATATATCCCCTTGGCGCCCCCTAGACCCCTAGACTTCCACCCACAGGACGAGTGTCCTATCCGCATCAGCAATGTTCACTTTTCCCGGTCGTCTATTCAATTGTTCAACGGTTTGTCTATGCAAATATTTTTATTTGCCTGCTGGTTATTGTTGTCCAGCGTGGAAAAACCACATAAAAAAGGACATTAGGGCAAAGGAGCATCAAGTGTACGGAGCATGAAAATACCCAGCACTTTATAAGGGGAATGGTAGAGAATTTACCAAAATACATATCCACCGATAGCATCATTAAAGAGAATAAATATCTAGATCCCAACATCTTGCTAGATATGCAGAAATTCTACAAGGAATTAAATTTATTAAAATTTTTCTTTGGCTTTATTTTTTCCATAACGTATTCTTCCTTTTTACTGTTTTACTAATATAACTGTAGGATATCCTCTTTAAAAGTAGTTAAGAATTGATTTAAAAAATTTTAAATATAAATTATTAATATTACTATAAATATTTGAACGTTATTGTGGGGAACAACAATTCCTGGCTCCCAATTTCCTTTCACATTTTTATGTACATATCTCCATGAAAACAAAAAATGAAAACAAATTTTAATCATATTTCTTTGTTCTATGGCCCAAGCTACCCTTCCACTCTCCCTAAAACTACTGAGTATCCCTCGAAAATAAAGCTAACATTGCTGACATGGCAGCATCGTTTTCATTTTCCCCTGCTTAAAGCAGACTCCGACTGACTGACTGACTGACTGATGGATGGATGGATTGTGTGGGTGGATTTTAGGGGAATATTTTGCACATGTTGCCACTTTCGACTTTCCGCTTTAGTTCCGTTTTCATCTTTTATTAGCTGGCTTCCAGAATTTATAGAGGGCTTCGTCATCATCATCCTCATTCGACGCTAATCAAGTACTTCAAATAGTTAATGTTTTCCCCAGGGGAGTTAATTACGCCGAGTATTTAGCATATAATTATGGGCTTCACCTGTTTTTCATCTGTCTCTCATTTGCGGTTCCAAGGGGCGTTCGGAACTCTCTCCTTTTTCCAGTGGGGAATGGCAAAAAGAGTCCCCTGAGGGCAAGACAAACTTCATGGACCGCCCGCCCGCCCACTGCTGGCAATTCAATTTTCCTTTACGACCAAACAACAACAGCAAGAGGAGGGAAAACTGTTGCTAGAGTGGGGAGAAAAACACTCGTTGGTGGGTGTAGGAAAACTGTTGGAAAAAGTAATCATCGTTGCAATTGTTTCACATTTTTCACATTGTGGGGCAGAGACACAGAGGGGGCAGCAGTGGAGGGAGGCCGTTTGAATGCCTGCTTTGATGATGACGACGATTGAGGTGAGGGAGAAGCATACTGGGGGTTTCCTTCCCATCCATCGAATGCCTGTAGACGACATTTTTCTGCTCCCCAATTTTCTTTTCTTATGACTAATGGCTGCTGGGGTTTGGGGGGGGGTCTTGTGGGTCTGGTCTGTGTGGCTGCAACAACGAATCGAATTGTGGGCGTTGATTTGAGGCGCCACCGAAAGCTTAAAGAGTTGTATGCCACAGCCCCGCCACAGCCAAACAACCCTCCGAGTGAATGTTTTAATAATACACCGAAAAGCAGTCGACTTCAAAATGATGTCCACTTGAAAACCAAGCGGAAAACTCGAAGGGGAAAACGAGTAACAGGAACAGGAATACATTAAAGCCTGCTGCCTGCAATGGGGCAAAGCCAGAGCCACAGCTAGAGCCGGAGGTGGTGGGCAGACTCGTCGAGTTTTTTGCGGACAGCGTCCGTTCCAACAACAAAGAGCGAAAAATGTCAAATGGTGGCAAAAAATTGAGAATGGGAAACGCATGTCAAAATTTGCGCGTGGATGCTGTCCGTCCGCGGGGACAATGGCAAACAGTGGCTCATCCTTCAGAGGAAAAAAAGTAGAGTGAGAGAGAAAGAGAGCGAGATCTCATCCTACAGAGTTAAGCAGCCTTTAGAGAGCGATTTGAAATACTCATCCTTTAGAGAGTAAAATTTGCAGGATGAGGCTTGAGAGCAGGAAGAGATTTCGATAGAGAGAGATTTTTGCAAAAGGGATGAACCAACATTTGTGGGGGATTTTTCAGTGGCGAGTGCTTGCTACAGCCAATTTTTGCTTGATTTATAGAAAATATGGGCGTGAAAATTGCCCCTGACTAATGATAATAATTGATGCAGGCTGTCTATTAGAAATTTGATGTCTAAAAGTAGCCCTAAAAAAGGGAAATTTACGTCATTCAATGCATTCACTGTCTGTGAATGCAGCTATAAATCAAGAAAATAAAGCAGACTTAAACAGGAATATTTTACAGAAAGAAAACTATTTTTTCTTCAGTTATTTAAAGGGGCTTTCAGAGCAGGCCTTAGAAGTCCTTTCTGAGCGTAACAACTACATAGATCATTTAATCATATATAAGGCCTTTAATTTGCCATCAAAACTTTGTGGAAATTCAAACTTGAAACTCAAACTAAAAACTCAAAGTAGCAAAATATCCACAGGAACAATTTCTAATATTTTTTAGAGCTCCACACAATGAAGTTTGGGAAAGAACTTGAGAGCCTCTTGACCACCGAATGGCGTCAGCAGTACATGAATTATGCGGTAAGAAGAATCTTCATATATTGCCACACATTTTGCCTCAACATAGAAGTAATTTCCACACATTTCCCCTGCAGGATCTCAAGGCAAAGATCCTCCATGCCAAGGAGAATGCACCCGATCCCAGGGCTGTCTCCAATTTGGAGCTTGAATATTATTACAGGGACTTTGAGACTCAATTCTTTTCCGCCTGCCTGGAGGAGCTGAATCGCGTGAATGTGTTCTTCCAGGAAAAGTTATCCGAGGCACGACGCAAGCTGGCCGCACTCAAGTATCAGTTTTTGGTCTCGGATCGTCATCGTGATCCCCTTGGACATGCCACGAGTAAAATGCACATGGAGGATGGAGAGCATCGCAAGCCGCTGTCGCAGCGGAAACTTCGCTTGGCCAGCACCGAATTCTACTTGAGTTTGATCATGCTGCAGAACTATCAGACACTCAATCACACGGCATTCCGTAAGATATGCAAAAAGTATGACAAGTACATTAGGTCCAATGGGGGCATGGCCTGGTTTTATGAATACGTACTCCATGCTGAGTTTGCCCAGCCCACGGAGCTGGTAGCAATGCTGACAGCCGTGGAGGATCTCTACACGGCATATCTGACAGATGGCGATAGATCCAGGGCCATGGCCAGGCTAAGGGTACCGCCGTTGGGCGAGAAGACTTCCCCGACGCGGGTTTTCTTTGCTGGTTTATTTCTGGGTCTATTTATTGTGGGCTCTGTCCTGAGTGCGATATCATGTGAGTGCAAAAGCGACCTAAGTGTGTGGATTTCTATTATTTAAATTGCCATCTCGATTTCTAGGGTTCTCTTTGGACTTAAAGCCCGAATTTAAATTTATGTTTGTTAATCTGTGGCGTGGTCCTTTAATGCTCATTGCTTATGGCATTTATTTGGCACTGAATGTGGGCATTTGGCAGAAAGTTGGCATCAATCATGTGCTCATCTTCGAGGTGGAACATCGCACTCACATGGGCTTCCTGGGTGCCCTGGAAATAGCCAGTTTCTGTGGCTATCTCTGCACCATTATCATCCTGGGCTATCTGTACAACGATGAGTTTGGCCTCAAGGAGTATTACATTCTGCCCCTGATACACATGACGGTGCTGGCTGTACTGCTGCTTAATCCCATCAGAGTGTTGAATTATCCCTTTCGCAGTTGGTTGGTGAAACTCTTTGGCAGAGTTATGGCTGCCCCATTTTTCTATGTGGGCTTTGCAGACTTTTGGATGGGTGATCAAATGACCTCGATGGTCCTGTGCTTTGTGGATCATTATTATTTGTTTCGTTTCTATATTCGTTACTACAACAAACAGGAGAATGCCTTTGGCTTTGAGCCCGACTATGGCGTGGCTCTGATACGCTGCCTGCCCGCTTGGTTCCGTCTGGCCCAATGCCTCAGACGCTATAGGGACAGCGGCTCCAAGTCCAAGCAGTATCTCATGAATGCCGGCAAGTACAGTCTATCGATTTTAGTGGTCATCTTTTCCACCATACAAATGGAGACAAATGGTGAGGGGTTGTCATTGTTTTTTGCACTTAATTTTCGCACTCTAAAGATTTCTTTTTCCTTTTTCCCTTTTAGCTAAATATCATTACATGTTTGAGAATCCCTGGGCCTGGCTGTACCTTGTCACAGCGCTTTTAGCGAGTTTTTACTGTTTGTTTTGGGATCTATACAAGGACTTTGGTTTGTTTAAGATTTGGGAATGGGAAAATCTATTTTTGCGTGCGAATTTAGTCTACCCAAAGGTAGGAATTGCGATTTCTTATCCATTCTTCAATTTAATTAATTTATAATAATTAATTAATAACAATGAATTAATATTATATTAAATATTAATTAACTAAGTATGAATTTTAATATTACGTATAATTTTAAAATTAATATTTAACTGATTAATATTAAATATAATATTAATTCATAATTATTATTTATTATTATTATAAATTAATTAATATTCATACTTAATTTATTAATATTAAATATAATAATAATTCATTATTATTAATTAATTATTATTTAATATTAATATTATTCATAATATTATAATATTTAATATTAATTAATTAAGTATAAATTTCAATATTACTTTTAATTTTAAAATTAATATTTAACTGATTAATATTAAATATAACATTAATACTGTATTATTAATTGATAATAATAATAATTAATAACAATGAATTAATATTATATTTAATATTAAATCTAATATTAATTATTTAGGTATGCATTTTAATATTATTTTTAAGTTTGAAATTATTATTTAATTGATTAATAATTAAATTTAATTTTCCTACATTTTCCCCCCCCAACCCCCAGTGGTTTTATTATTTTGCCATACTGGAAAATTCACTACTTCGTTTCGTTTGGATTTTGGAAATGATTTTAATTTATTTTGATGTGCTCACAATTTACAATTGCAAGTCTCTGATCATCTTTTGTGAAATTACACGGCGCTTTGTGTGGAATTTATTGCGCTTGGAAAATGAACATTTAAATAATTGTGGCAAGTTCCGAGCCACACGTGACATTTCTCTAACAGCCCTGAATCCCACGGAGGAGATGCTACTCGAACGAATGATGGACGATCCGGAGCATCGTCTGTCAAGCAGACTGTCAAGTCAGCCACAGAGCAAGGATCAACAACGTTCGAAACTTAACAAAAAGTACTTTTGAAAGTGTGTCATTCTTTGTGTTTTCTTGCAACTAAATAAAATCTGTGAATAAAAATGAAATTTGGTCAGACTTTAGAGCGGCATTTGGTCAATGAATGGCGCGAGCAATATGTGAATTATGAGGTGAAATAATGAGAACTTCCATCCTCCTCCTCCCATGCTCAAACTTCTCTTCTTTTAGCTGCTCAAAGAAATGATCAAAATGGGCGTAGATGAAGCACCCGATTTCCACGATTATCCCTTGGTTTTGCTCCACGAATATTATGAGAGGGTCAACTACGAATTTTTCGCCGCCTGCGCCACTGAGATAGTCAAGGTGCAGCTATTCTTTGAGGAAAAACTGGCAGCGTCCCACCGCAAGCAGGAGTCATTCAGGGCCACTCTGGCGGATGTCCGTGAGGCAGGTGGCGCAGGTGGCGCAGGCAGGCAGTTCCATATGCGTTATCCCACCCTGTTGCCAACACAGCCGCAAAGCATACCACAGCTGCGCAATGCCTACAGTGAGTTCTACTTGAGTTTGATTCTACTGCAAAACTATCAGACGCTCAATCAAACGGCGTTCCGTAAGATATGCAAAAAGTATGACAAGAATTTTCGCTCCTCGGAGGGACAATTGTGGTACAAAACCGTGGTGGAGAGATCGCCATTCACGGACCAAAATGATCTCAGAAATCTCATGAACGAAGTGGAGGAGCTGTACACCCAGTACCTGACCCAAGGAGATCGTTCCAAGGCCATGACAAAGCTGCGAGTTCCGCCCCTGGGGCAACCCCCAAATCCTTGCAGGGTGTTCTTTGCTGGTCTCTTTTTGGGTCTGTTCTTTGTGGCTGCCATCATGGCAGGCATATCATGTGGGTGCTCTAACACAGATCCTTGATGCTTGGATCAAATTTAAGAATTTATCTTTATTTATTTTGCAGACTTTTTCTTGGATGTAGATGCCACATTTCGTGTGCTCTTTGCCCATCTCTATCGTGGCCCATTTATCTTTATTTGCTATTACTTTCTGGTGGCTATGAACCTTTTTATCTGGCAACATGTTGGCATCAATTATGTCTTGATTTTCGAGCTAAATCCCCGGAAACATTTGACACCCACAGCTGTGCTACAGATTGCCAGCACTTTGGCCTCTGGTTGGATGCTCTGCGCATTGGCATTTCTGCATCATGAAATCATTGAGGTGGCAAAACCCTATTATTTTCCACTGATCTGGCTGGGCATGGTGCTTCTGTTGGTCCTGAATCCGTTTCCCATTTTGGAATATTCGGCGCGAAAGTGGCTCCTCGCGTGTTTGATCCGAATTCTGGCTGCTCCTTTTCTCTATGTGACCTTTGCTGACTTTTGGCTGTGCGAACAAATGACTTCGCTGACCCTTTGCCTCGTGGATCACTATATGCTGTGTCGTTTCTGCGTTCGCTACTATGCCAATCTGGGCAATCACTTTGACTTTGAGCCCGATTTTGGTGTGGCACTGCTGCGGATGCTGCCTGCCTGGCTGCGGGTCTGTCAATGTTTGCGAAGGTATCGTGAGGGCACTTCCAAATCCTTTTGGTATGGTCTCAATGCCCTCAAGTACAGTCTAACTATAGTTATGGTTGCATTTTCCACCATACAAATGCAAACAAATGGTAAAGAATATTCAAATATTCCATAAGACTTTTAAAATCATATTTAAATACCTCTAATTTCCCTAGCAAAGTACCAAAGTTTTTTCGATAATCCCTGGACCTATGGCTATATTATTAGTGCCTTTTGCTGTACCATTTATCAATCGTATTGGGATTTGCGCAATGATTTTGGTTTATTTGATTCGGAACACAAGCCGCTGCGTGAGAAACTTGTTTATCGAAAGGTATACTAGAAAATATACAAAGCACAGCACAGCACAGAGAGCTCGCAAATAATCGACACAAAATAATTTACAATGCAGCAAGAAATAAAAAAAAACCCAAGCACAGTTTTCTACAGTCTTACAATAACAACAATTACAATGAGAAGCGCACCAAAAGGTGTTTGCAAACGGAGAGAGAGAGAGAGGGAGAGAGACAAAGCTTATCTCCAGAACAAGCAAACACATAAAAAAAAAAAAGTCGCCTCCTGTGATCGAGACAAAACAAAAAAAAAAAGGTTTGCTCGCTTGAATGTGACAAAGTAGGTCGAATTTTGGACACCCTGTAAATTGTTTGTTGCTAATTTGCGAGTTCTGCCAAAGCCAATTCTGCTGTGACTGATCTTCCTGTACCTTTTTGTTTCCCTTTCAGAGCTTTTATTACTTCATCATCGTGGCCGAGCTACTTTTGCGCTCCTTTTGGATGCTCGAACTCTTTTTGGTGGCCCACAACCTCGTGGCACCCTACAATTGCAAGACTTGTGGTGCCCTCTGTGAGATAATGGTGCGATTTCTATGGAATCTGCTGCGCTTGGAGAACGAGCATTTGTATAATTGTGGCAACTTTCGTGCCACCAGGGACATTAACTTGTGGCTCTCCGAAGAGGATATGAATCCAGAGCAAAGTAAAATATATTTCTAACACCCCAACCACAATCTATTTATTTCATTTGTGCATTTTTGCATCATACATGCAAGGCCATGTGTGTGTGAGTGTGCGTGTGTGTGTGTAACGTTATGCCGAAATTTATCATGATTTGATGTGTGCCCAGTTGTAGTTGTAAATGTAATGTGAAATGTAATTGTAAATGTAAAGTGTATATTTTTTTTTTTTTGGTGTATTTTTAGAAGCATTTGCGATGGACAATGGAGGGTCCGGACTCATCGTACTCCAGCTTGGAGATCCACATCTGCTGGAAGGTGGACAGTGAGGCCAAAATGGAGCCACCAATCCACACGGAATACTTGCGCTCTGGCGGTGCAATGATCTTAATTTTCATTGTCGATGGAGCCAGTGCCGTGATCTCCTTCTGCATGCGATCAGCAATGCCGGGATACATGGTGGTGCCACCGGACAGCACAATGTTCCCATAGAGATCCTTGCGTATGTCCACGTCACACTTCATGATGGAGTTGTAGGTCGTCTCGTGGACACCGCACGCCTCCATGCCGAGGAACGACGGCTGATAGAGGGTCTCGGCACAGCGGAAACGTTCGTTTCCAATGGTAATCACCTGTCCATCGGGCAGCTCGTACGATTTCTCCAGCGACGAACTGGACGCAGCCGTGGCCAGTTCCTGCTCAAAGTCCAGCGCAATGTAGCACAGTTTCTCCTTAATGTCGCGCACTATTTCACGCTCCGCGGTGGTCGTGAACGAGTAGCCACGTTCGGTCAGGATCTTCATGAGGTATTCGGTGAGATCGCGACCGGCCAGATCCAAGCGCAAGATGGCATGGGGCAGTGCATACCCCTCGTAAATGGGCACGGTGTGGGAGACACCGTCACCCGAGTCCAGCACAATGCCAGTGGTGCGTCCAGAGGCGTACAGCGAGAGCACCGCCTGTATGGCCACATACATGGCCGGCGTGTTGAAGGTTTCAAACATTATTTGGGTCATCTTCTCGCGATTGGCCTTGGGATTGAGTGGTGCTTCAGTGAGCAGCACGGGATGCTCCTCGGGCGCCACACGCAGCTCGTTGTAGAACGTGTGATGCCAGATCTTCTCCATGTCATCCCAATTGGTCACAATGCCATGCTCGATGGGGTACTTGAGTGTGAGTATGCCGCGCTTGCTCTGTGCCTCATCGCCCACGTACGAGTCCTTCTGTCCCATGCCCACCATCACGCCCTGATGGCGCGGACGACCGACAATCGATGGGAACACGGCGCGTGGGGCATCGTCACCAGCGAATCCGGCCTTGCACATGCCCGACCCATTGTCGATCACCAGGGCCACAACCTCTTCGTCCACCATTCTTCTTGAACTCTACGATCTATAATTAATTAGCACGGCTTTAATTTTAATTTTAAAGTAATTTTTGCATTGCATTTGCTTTACCGTTTGTTGTTTCTTGGCTTTGTCTCAAAACGAAATTTTGAAAATATACAAAATACTCGATACTCGATTTTATCCCGTTTACGCGTTTATTTATTTTGTTTGTTTGAAAAAAAAAAAATTGTATTTTTTGTTTCCTGCTGCTAGAACGAACCTATTTCAGAGACGACCCAACGGAGAACTGAGAACTGAGCCCCACACGAAATTCAAAGTAAGTCCCGATGACAGATTGGATTGCTATGTTTCAGAAATTTCAATGAAAAATCCATTAAAATGGGAGAGAGGTAAAAGAGTTGATAGCATTAAAAGCAGCCCTGCGAAAAGAGTTGCCTGCCTACCAGAGGATTCTATAGCCCATTTGGCAACTCTGTTTTCTGCATCTTTTATTCCCAAAGCTTTGGTGCTGTACCAAATGATTTCCTAGTCCAATTTTAAGGCAGAAATAGCAAAAGTAGTAGAAAATAACACTCGTAAAAAGAGCTACCATCACTCAAGCACCGGCCATAAAACAGTTGGCAACCCTACAGCTGACATTAGCCTTGCATGGCAACTCTGCCAAATGCTTTGCCTGAAGCGCTTCCCCCTTGATTGCTCCCTTTCAATTTGAATCTATATTTAAACGGAATATCTGCAGGGCACAAACGAAATTGAATAAAATTAATTTCACATTTAGCAAATTAAAACCACAAATGGAATTATAAATTCAACACACAACACACCAGAGGGACACAGAGGACGGATGGATGGATACACAGGACATACACAAAAGACAAACCATGTGGAAAAAACCAAGCAGCCCGCAGGACAACAAAAGTTAAGCCTTAATAAAGGCTGAACCGAAGCGAACCCAGAGAGCCGGCGAGTAAAGGATAAACGATGCATGCATGAGCGTATTGGCCAGAAAGGACTTGACAACTTGTCAATTGTGGGAGTAGAATGTGGAGTGGAGTGTGGAGTGGAAGTGTGTGTGTCGTAGAGTAGCCATAGATTTAACGGGGGGGGATTGCATTTTAATGGAGATTGCAGATACACTGGAGCGGTTGATATGGGATTTAATCTAGTATTTCGGGAGATTTACTTTAAATTTAATGCAGAAAATGTCTGAATAAAAAGTGGAATTCTATTGAGAACTCTTTGGTGGTACTGCCTCTTGGTCGGATACCTCTATTGGGTGGGTTATCTATCGTGTAGGAGTTTTATCCTTAGATCTCATCTATTTACTAAGTCCTTCTGCAATCCCTCTGCTCCAAGAGACTAAGGTGCAGCTTTTGTAGCGTGGATTCCGGGCAGTCCACCTCCAGCTCAATAGACTGAGGGGCGCTGCCGCATGTCTCGTGACATGTTTAATCGAATTTAAAAAGGAATTTGGCGCCCCTACTCAAAGAACTAACTCAGAAGATCTTCTGGTCCATCATTTTCCATACAAGATTGCTCCAATCAAAGCTTGTACGTTGCTCTGATTCTGACAGACTTTCGCAGCTCACTTTCCTTTCTACAACTAAGCTTCGCCTTTATTTTCTGGCAGTGTAAAATCCAGTAAGAGTTTTAGCCACAGTTCAGGGTTGGGATTTGTTCCTGCTGTTCCTGCTGTTTACTGCTGCTTCATGGTCACGCATAAATGCAGTCAAATTAGAGAAAGGAAATCCCAAGGAACACACGCACGTAGACGCAGGACTTAGCCAACCCCCAAACAAAAAGGGCGTGTGGGTGGCTCCCACACACACAGTCTGTTGCATGGGAATGTCCCCTGGCCCTGGGTGTATGGAAGGGGTAAGCTTTCCACTGTTATAAATACATTTTCGGGGGGCAGGCAACATATTGCAGCGGCAATGGCAATGTGTCTGCTAAAGCAATTTGCAGAGTTATAAATGGCATGTGGCATCGTCATCAGCTGTTGCTCTGTAAAATCTTTCTTCTCCTTTAATTATGTGCGTCAGTGCAACATGTAGCAGGTTGTTGTCGGCTGCCTCCTTCAACGACAACGAATCTCCGCTTTAAAAGAATAAAACTTGCGAATTGCCATTGCCATTAAACTGGTGAATCCGAGTAGCAGCTGCTTTTGTCGTTTAAAATGCTTTTGAATATTGCATTGGGGAAAATCTTTGCCCTGCCCCATTTGGGGGTTGGGGGCCCACTCTCGCGAACGGTAACCCCCTGACGATGGCTAGGTCTAGGTCGCCAGACCGCAGACAATATAAACAATCCTCTGGAGAGGAGAGGTTCGGGTAATGGTGTCCTCCTCCTGCTGTAGTCCTGCTGCTGCTGCTGCTTTCCCCTAGTGAAAGTTTTATGGCGCAACTTTAAATGAACTTGGGATTGCATGGCCCGTGGTCTGCATGTCCTGTGCACCGTTGCCCTACCATGAAGTAGGCCCAAGGACGGTTGTAAAAATCCCGTGTTATTTATGCGTCTGCTCGACCAAAAACATTTCCATAGCGCCAGGCGCAGTGTGGGGCACAAAATAGGGTTCTTAAATGGGGGAATGAACACTGAGAGAAAAGGAAATACCTTTCTAAAAGTGAATATATTTTATACATCAATATTATCTGGCTTATTGGAGACCTCTTTTGGAGGTTTATTTGTGTTTCGTACTCCTGCAATGTTAGGTAAAATCGTCCTATTTCACGAAGAACTTAATCACGGTATTCCATTCCACACGATTAAAGGTCTTATTTATAAGGTCTTATTCCGACCATAACATTATATTTTCCGCCGCTTAGTGGCATACAAAATTAGCAGTTCTCAGCAGGTAGATTAAAATATTATTTCGCAGGCAATCTTTTATATTCTCACAGAAATAAATATTCAAAATATGCTAAGAAAATACTCCAAAATTCCACGATTTCATTAATTTCCTGAAAGTTAACCCTTCAACAGCTTCTTTCTATGCTACACTATTTTCTCTCAGTGTTTTTTTTTCTCCTTTGCCAATGCGAATAACATTTCCGTTACGCATTTAAATTTCATAGTCAGTGAAAGTCATCAACACATTGCCATGGAAACAGATACAGATACACAGGAGTGGGGATGTATCCAACGAAAAATATCCAAAAGATGGCATAGTGGAGAGAGAGAGGGGGGAAGGGCTGCCGCTACGTAGCCCGAGTTAAACGACGATGACGGGGCTTCCCTACCCTGAAAAGAAAACCCCAACGTAAAGGGGGAGGGCAGAAGCCATGAGCCACACAAAAGCTTCCGCTTCCTGTCTGCAACTCCAAGGATTTCCCCCAGGGGTTGGTTTGCAAACATACACACACACACACACACACACACCAGAAAACCCCTCCAGACATTTGCTCTGCCTGGCAAATAAAGTTTTCTAATTTTGGACGTCTTCAAGGTTTTTGAATTTCTCAAAAGAAACTCAAGCACTTTTTAGCTCCCCCCCTCCCAAAAGAAGCGGAGATTTTTCCTCACTTTAACTTTGTAGTATGCCAATTTTTGTTTGCTTCCCCCCCGCCTGAATTTTCTTTTGCATTTCTTTTGCAGATGATGATGATGATGACATCTGTTGCCGTAGGTGTGAGGAAAATACCCCCCCCGAACTGACTGTAATTTCCGGCAAACAAACCAATAAATCATATTAAACTTGCTAGGAATTCCCTTTTTTTTTTGAGGGGGAAAAGCGCAAAAGGAAAACGAACGAATCGTAGCCGGAAATCTTATGGCGCGTCTAAGAAAAATTCATAGGAAATCTCTGACATTGGATATGCCATAGCCTGGGCAGTGGACGGGCGTAAGCAGGAGCGGAAGTTCCTTTGGATGGATTTGACAAGCGCTCCGAGTTTTAAATAATGATGAAAAAAACAATGGGTGGGAGGTACAAGCTCTTTTTTTTGGGGGTTGGCTCCATTTTTAGTGGAATTTTACTCGTGAGTCAACTGGAATTGTGTGGAGTTAATCAGGGATTTGTTCAACATGTGCTTGCTGTCACAGAAAAAGGTGCACTTTTGAGGAGCAGGAGATATTATAATAAATTAACTTGGATAACAAAGAAAAATAATTCTAGAAAATTGTTTACAAATTCAGGAAATTCGTGAAAAAGTTAAAATATGCATAATATTCAATTTTTTACCGAATTATTTAATTTTAGAATTATGGGGGTTTTCTTTAGACCCCCACAAAAGACGCAAATGCTATTAAAATTCCTGAAAAATAATTCGTAAAAACTGCAACAGGATAAAGTCTACAAAAGAATTCAAATTATTACAAATTCTTCAAAAATTTTATTTTATTTGAAGTTTTAGAAATATTTTCAGAATTGGACACAAATAAACGCCTAACAGCTGTTATTATTTACAGTGGTTTGATTGCCAAGCTAACATTATGTTCGGCTGTTAGTTAACATTCTGTTGATCAACATCATATGTCGTTGTCTGACAAAAGCTCGCAAATATGAAACTCGGCTGGTTCCATTTATTGCCATTGTGCGCGACATATTTTTGAACATTTTGCAACAAAAACGCGCCAGGTGGCGTCAATGTGCATGGAATAGTTCCAATAAAAGCGCCAATGGCGCTGTATTTTACAGAAAATTAAATTAAATAATATTTGTTTATTTATGATTAAAACACCAACATCAAATCTATTAAAATAAATACTAAAAAATGTTTTGCACTCACCGATTCACCATTTCATTGCCGTTTTCCAAAGACTGTGCCAACTGTTGAGGTGTTTGCTGCAATTGTTGCTGCTGCTGCTGTTGTTTTTGTTGCTCCTGTTGATTCTTATCGTGCAGCAGTGTTCCCGCTTGGCCAGGAGCTCTCAGACTTCCGCCCAAGCCAATACCCAGTACCGAGCCACCAGAGAGAGCCGTATTGGAGGTGCCACTGCTACCTCCGCCGCCGCCGCCGCTGCTGCTGCCACAACCGACGCCAATCGATTTGGTTTGCTTGGCCTGCTGCTTGAAGCGGCTCAGAGCAAAGAACAGCGCAAGGACTGCCTTCAGACGGCCGGCACAAATGTCATTCGTTGTGATGTTGTCCAATCCACCAACGGATTGTCCGCGCAGCACATGTAGGCACGAATTAACGTTGTCGTACTGCCACGGAAGAAAGAAACGAATCGTAAATGAAACGAATATTTAAAGGTACAATTTAAGCGGATGATTCATCGTTTGTGGTGGTAGAGCTAGATAAGTCGGTCGAATCTAAATGGAAATCCTCAAGCTGCTTCTAACCTTCTTTTGCCGGTACTTAATCCATCATTAAAACGTTATTTGAAGGCGCTTATTTATTCGTAAGTTAACGTTATTTTTGGGGCCTGCAGTTGGTTCTTTTAAGGCGCCATCAAAGTCGTGATTCTGTCATTCGTTTTTTCCCCAAGGAGATTCCAAATTTCTGGCGCACACAAATGCGTTTTTTATGACTAATTTGCCATGGAAATGTTTCGTTTTTTAACTGCTTCACGCACACGTCTTGAGGATAGACCTCCTAACAAAAAACCATTGACATTCAGATAAAGTGAGCGCTCAGACATCAACTGCTGCCCCAGCACCCTGTCTGCCATTTGTTCACACCCAAATGGAAAATGGAAATGATGAATGACACGGGTCACACAACACACGACCTGCCAGCGGAAGATGCTCTTTGGGTTCTCTCTAAGCTTTCGATGGGAAATGGTAAACGCTTAGGAATGGAAATGGTACGCTTAGGAAATGATTGGTTAATCTTAAGCACCAATCTAATTGGGCAGCTGGCGGCAAAGGAAAAGGTTAAGAAATATCCCAGAATTTTTGGATATCGAAGAAGAAATCAAAGAAGGGTCTTGAGTATTTATTCGATATTTTATTGCATTAATTGTGAGCTATGGAGGGAAAGTACATTTCCACTCAACTATAAAATGTTCCTTAGTTCCCTCTAAAAACAACCAACAAAATAAAAACCTCAAAATGATCTCCGAATAAACCCAAAAAGTACAACCAGTACATTCATGACCCAAAAATCTGTCCCCTTGGAGGACAGTGCCATCCGTTGACATGCAACACGACTAACCACTCAACCCACACACAATCAAATCAACAGCAAGAGGGAAAAGACTCTTCTTCTAGTGGCAAAGAATTGTATGAAATATTGTCAACAAGCGTTTGGCTTCCGAAAAAGCTGCAGAAATTTGTCTCTTTTTTTTTTTTTTTTTGTAGGTTGTCATGTAACAATTTAAAAAATATACACACATATATATATACATATATATATATATATTTGTAAAATAGAAGAAGCAGCTGAAGAGCCAAAAATTGTTGGAAAAATCAAACTTGACAACTGACATGACAGGCAGACAAATGACAAATGTCTGCTGCTGCTGCTGCTGCTGGACCTCCCTCCGCCCAGCCAACGGCTGTGTGCACTCAATTTGCCCAGCAAACTTCACAGATACTTCTCCAATCCAATGCATGGAGTATCTAACGAGTTGACAAAAAAGAGGTTAAAGTTTAAAAGCTCGGAAAAAACTTCTCTGTATACATATATGTGCAAAACTTTGTAATAACTTTTCCACGAATAGAAAATAGATAGAAAATCGAATGCAACTTTTTTGGGCAAACAATTGAAAAACTTCAAGTATTTTGCCGAGATAAAAGTTCAAGTTCAATGCGGCGTTAAAAGTATCTGTAAGATACTTCTTCTTCGTTGACTCTGCTGTCTGCTGTCAACATTCATTTTTTGGCGAAAGTAATCCTCTGCTTTGGGGTCTCAATTTTCGCTCATTTTCCATTACAAATTGAGATAATAAATTTGAATTAATTTTCTCTACAGCAGCCAAAAGGAAAAGGAAAAAGCAAAAGCAACGCAAAGCTGCTGCTTGTTATCGCTTTGCATTTATCTTTCTATCTGTTCCCATTGATAGATACAGATACGTTCTGTCATTTGCCACATTAACTTTTTGTGGTCTGCAAATTGGAAAGTTTCCTTGCGCTGAAAGTTTTGCTCTGGATGACTTTTGGGGTTTGTAAAAAGTCAATTTTGAGAGGAGAAGTGTGTTTCTGGTCGAAATTTTGGCTGGTTAATGCACTAATTGGTGACGAATCAGTGGGTTCTTGGTAGAGACATAGATTTAGACTAAAATAGATTTTTTCTTATTTTCTTATTTTATTTGCAATAATAGAAAAATAAATACAGGTAAATATATAAATTTGAAATCATAGCTTCAACAGATTATCCAAATAGTTTTTAAACTCTTTTCCTAAATGTTGGACAGAAGTTAGAGAGAATATTAATAGAAAAAGTCCTAGAGCTAGCTACCGAAGGCTTTCTCAGTTATTTCCCTTCTTCTGTAACCATTTCCACATTTTTTTCTCAGCAATTTAAATATTTTTCTTTACGTTAAGTCACAAAAAGCATTCTGTAAACAATTCTCCTTTATTCGATGACATTTAAACTCATATTTTAGTTCTTAAAAATTATATTGGCACTTATAAAGCAACTCTTTTTCATTAAATTTAATTGACTACTCTACTTAAACCACTTTGATCATTTTTTAGTGCTCTCTTATAAGCAGAAACCTGGCTTTATTCGTTTATTCATTTAATCAGCGTAGTCAAAAGTTATTCCAGGAAACATTCGTTTCTTCATAGATTTTATAGCTTTCAAATAATATTTCATATCTCATTCATTATAAAATCCCATAGATTCGCAGCTAAAACCTTCACCAATCAGTTTCCGTACTTTTAAACCTCTTACCAGATATTTGTCTCCCTCTGCAAATTATGATATTTCTTTGATTGCCATAACTATACCCAAAAGGCAACTACTGTCCCATCGGATTGCGGCATTTGTTATGACCATGGTTAATAGTGTTGCCCCTTCTCCATTAGCAACACTTGACAACATCATTTCTTTGCCGTTCTCCAATAACTGCCCCCAAGAGGGGAGGCAAGGCACAAAGCTCTGCCTCTACCTCGAGGCACTATCGGACGATCAATCATGAGGTGCCGCCGCCGCGCTGACAGCTGCAGCAAGTGTCAAACAGAGCGTTGCACTTATTTATACGCGCCACAATGGAAACGCCGCCACCGCCACCGCTACCGCCCACAGTAGCCACCACAGTCACAGTAGATATCCAAAGTGGAAGGGGGCACTGGCTGGCTATGTCTATGTGTGTGTGTGTGTGTGTGTGGCACAGTTACCAAGTAAAAACCCCATTGAATATCGCTGTCAGCGTTGGTGGGTGCAACTGCGCTGCCAAGTGCATTGAACACTCGATTTACGTAATATGCAACAAAAGTCAAATAAACCACAATTGTGGTGAGTAGGGGTAGGGGTAAGGGTAGGCGGGGAGCAGTAGTCTCAGCCAGTCTCTGTATTTGCCAAAGATATAACCGTACTCGTAGTCGGCACTCGTGCAACAAGATGCGGCAGCAGCTGCTGCTGCTGTGTGCTGGCCAAAAGAGAAGACGCCAAGCCAGAAGCCGCAAACTTCAATGTGCAAAATGCAATCGCAACACCGAGATATCGATATGCTCCTCCACACTCCACACTCCCCCCTCTGCCAGAGTGAGGCGGCACCCACAGGAGAGGCAGGGAGACAGCAGACAGCAGACACAGAGGGAGATACCCCAAAAAATATATCGTATTGGGAAATGTGATGCCGCTACAATGCCCGCATGCCTTTTACTTCTGCTGCTCCTTCACTTTTGCCCGCTTGTCCTCTTTGGACGACTTCTTCTGCACTTTTGCCCCCTCTTTTCCTTCAATTTTAACCCCAAAAAAAAGGAAGAAAACCTTAAAAAATAAATGCAAAATAATATTGTTCACATTGAAGCTGTCAATTGCAGTGGGGCGAGAGAGCGAAAGACAGGAAGGAGTCTTCTTGTCTTATCAATGACCTTTCCCTCGCCAGTGAAGGGTTGAAACAGTGGGTCTTAAATGCTAGAATATTTGTATGCTTTCTGCATAAATAAGAAGATTTCACGGGGTTTGTTTTCACATAAAAACTGCTCTAGAGAAAGAATTTCAATTGCAGTTCAGCACAGAAATTGCAGCATAATTCCAAACAGTTTTAAGCACGGTAAATATCATGAGAGCATTATGAGGATGTTCTCCTCCCTTGCAGTGTCCTTTCACTGTCCTTTTGTTCCTTCGGCAAAATGAAGACAACAAACAGGCAAAAGTGACGCTCATTGTCACACACACACACACACACACACACACACACGCATACATACATAGAGCGTCATTAAAACGAGGCAATGGAAGGGAGAGCTGGGAAGAGGCAGCAGCAGATAGGGAGCGAGCTCCTGCAGCGCAGCAGCAGCAGCAGCAGAACAGGCCAGGATCCCTATCCTTTATTGACATTCTTCGTTTCGTTTCGTTTCAATTCGATTTTTCTCTGCTCCATCTTTGTGTTTGTGTGCCAAGTGCAGGAGAATTTCTGAATTGCAGTCGATGCTCGATGCTCGACGCATTGTTGGTGGTCACTCGAGTGCTGCCTGCTGCCTGCCGCCTGCCCATCCACCCACTCATTTAATGCGAATTTATCGCAAAATGCAATGCGTTTCCTTTCTTTTGTGTTGGGCAATTCAATCCCCCCCCTGCTGCTGCCCTGCTGCTGCCGGCATGGCGCTCCTCCAGCTCCAAAGGATTAAGTGTGGTCAGACGAAAGACGACGTAAATGAAAAGGCAAACGGAACCAAAACCGATACCAAAGGGAATGGAGAGGGGTAGGAAAAGGGTGGACAAGGAAAAAGCTTTTGTTAATGGCGCTAAAGAGTTGAACGGATCGGTGGCATGCCCCACCGAGCGGATTGCGTGTGGCTAAAGTCAACGTTTACTTCAACGCATCTCTCGCTTTATATGACATTTTTATTTTTATTTTTATTTATTTTTATATATAAATTTCATTTCATTTGATTTATTTGCACATTTTAAAGCCCCCAAAATGCAATAAATCAACGTAGGCATCTGTCTGCATATTGCTCTCTCTCTCTGTTCTCTCTCTGTCTCCCTTTCTCTGAGCCTCTGTGGGGCCAAGCCAAGCCCCTATTTTTAATTAACCGCCAGGCAAAAGGAATTATACAAAAAAAAAATACCCACAAAAAATGAGGAA